TAGGAGTTTCTAGGAAGCTTAGCTCCATGATTACACCTTTATTTCTTCTGCATTGCAGGAATCTAAAAATTGTCTTATTGGCCAGACCAGTGGTCCTGCTCCTTACTAGCTTGCAGTAAACAAAGCAATCTGTCTCCAGCAATTGCCAGGCAGAACCTTTGGGAAGATTGTAGATAGGACATGATGTAATAGCCCTGTAATTTGCTTTGAGCATCTCTGAACATCAGAGACATATGATGGAACCTTGCTGCTGTAAACATATTTAACGTATGTCATGCTTCAGTCTGGTCTGTGTTAAATCTATGAATCTGGTAATCTCCTGCCACATAGCCTGTGTGTTGACTTCCCAGTTATCTTTATAGCACACAGGGGTGGGAAATAAACTGCACTGTTGTAAGATAAATGTTACCATGGGAGGGGGTGTGTGCTGAAGTTCAAATATTTATGTGTGTGTGCATTATGCCTTCAAGTCAGAAGTGTGTGCGTGCACACGTGTGTGCGTGCACACACACATATTTGAACTTGCCTACAGGCCAGTCACTCTTTCAGCCCTAGGTAGCAGGCAATAGTAAGATTTCAGAAGTCGTTTGCCATTGCCTGCTTCCTAGGGCTGAAAGAGAGTGACTGGCCCACTGGCAAGATATGTTGCCAATGTACTTTATTAATGATCCCACACAAGTGTTCTGGGAGAATGTGTGGTTTGGGCAGCATTTTGCAAACCTTGGCTGATCTCAAAAAAGCTAAGCATGGTTAAGTTGGGCTAATTGCTTGGGCAATTACCAGCATAGCCAGTGGCTATAGGCTAAACTGGGAAGACGGCAAAGGCAAACCACTGACAAGAAAATAACATAGACGTATCCACTTAAGACTAATTCAACTCAAGGGAGATTTTTTTATATACTGTATACCATGTCACTCAGATTCCAATGTTTGAATCAGTTCTTAATCCCAGAAATTTGAATGTAATTTAAAACAGCATTCCCAATTTGGTACCAGCTAATTATGTGTGTTACCTATGGAAGGTCACCATTTGGGGAAAGCTGCTGGTGCGTGACTAGGGCTATGGTCAAGCATAATGCATATTTTAGTGACGTTTAAAGCAGGAAGGAACACCCTGGAACACTGGAACTATCTTTGGGTTTCACAAGGGAATCAAATTATCAGGGGTCTAATATTAGACCTCCTTAAACATCTGTGACAGTAACTATTACATCAATGGAACTGATTTTAATTCTTCTGAAGTATTTCCTTTTTCTGAAGTATTAAGTAGAAGGGAAAGGCCTGAGAAGCATAAAAATTGAAAGGATTTATCTCTCTGGATATGTAGAAATGGAACTTTCTAAAGTTGTGTTTAAATATCTCACCAGAATTTGATTCTGGTAAAATATTTAATATCTCCTTGGTTAGCAGTAGCAATTGGGACTGAAATTACTAAGTGATGCAGTCATAAAGCATGATGTCTCATGACTGTGCTGCTTAGCAACAGCAGTCCCAGTTGCTGTCGTTAAGCAAGGACCGCGTGGGTCGTTAAGCAAGGATCTCACATGACTGAGTTCTGACTTCCTGCCACAATGAACAAATGGACATAAACTGAGGATTACCTGTATAGGCTCACAAAATGTGTAATCTGTCCCCTAAATTACCTCAGAAAGTTATATATTCAAATATCACATTATAAATTCAGTTTCCCTATCTTTAAATTGATAAATCCCTTCATGGAAATCTAGGCATCTAAAATGAAAATTTACATATTACAAGGAATTTTCCCCTTGAATATGTTTGAGTTACATTGGTAAGTCATCTTAATTCCCCCATTTCCCAGAAGCTGCTGCTACAAAGTCATTTAATATGAAATCAAAGAGGATAAAAGTCGTAAGCACAAAATTAAAAGGAGTTATAATATCTTGCCTTAATTACATGTGAAGGGAACCAGCATATCCTTGGATTACTATAATGTTGGTACATCTGACTCAGCCTCATCATATTTGCCAACTCTATTGCTTTCTCAGTAAGCCATAAGAGCAGAAGATGCAGTTTCTCATAGCTTTGCACTTTTCTAACATATTTAAATGAATTGTTGTAATTTTGGAGATAAGTATTTAGGGTTACCTTCTTTATTCCTGGCAGGGTGGCATTCACCAAGAACATAACTGAATGGGTACTGTTAGAAAAGTACCAAGATAATTGAGGTCTGCCTCTACTTTAGACAGAAAACATTCTGTTCAGTCATTCCATGTAAGCTTTAGATATATAGACCAGGATCCACAGAACTACATAGCTAATTCCTTTACCACAAGGACTTTTGTTCTTGGACTGTAACTCCACTCTTCCAATGGCATATGACAAATTACTTTTGTAGTTAAGAGTCTTCAAAAGACCATTGTAATTTGAGGATTTGTCATTCAAAAGAAAAATCATGATACCTGTGTTCTTAGATGCATCTAAGTTACCCCTTACGTTAAATAGAGATACCAGATAAAATAATAGAAATAATCATATATTTATCACATCTTTATTTGGTCAGTTATATTGATATGAAGCTTTTGCACTTTAAAGGGCAATACTATCTCTTCATGTATCCATTTTGGTGTGTGTGTATATGTGTTTTCCCCCCCCCCCAGACCTGGTTAAGAAATGTTGCAAAACCATGGATTTCTTCTGCAGTGCAAATAAATTCCCCTTTTTACTAACTCAGATTACATTTCAGAAGAGGGTTTGTAAGGTTTTATTTTAAAAAATTATCCACAGCCTTAAATTGTTTTGAGATAAAAGTTCCTAAAATCAACACAGGAAATAAATTTAAATATGGTATCTCCATCATATTGGGAAAGTATTTTTAAGAATAAATGTTGTGGCTGAAAAACAGGATGTGACTATTCTCATTTTCCTGATTAGAGGGAATAATAACACAATGAACAAGAAAAGTTATAAATGAAAAAAAATTACCCTACCTGTTCTGTGGCTTTTTAAAAGTGATTATTTTTAAGTGAGCAACCAGCCCTTGTCCAATACAACTGCAGTGAAATCTAGTTAACTCTGAAATAATGTTCATTTGAAGAGATTATCCCCATGTTTCAGACAGGGAATAATACCATTCAGTGTTGAAATGGTTTTTAAAGAGGAATCCAAACTTTCAAAATCTAGGTGCACATTATTCTTTAGAGCAACCTTGGCGACTTGAAAATGTGTGGACTTCAACTCCCAGAATTCCCTTGCTGGGGAAGTCCACACATCTTCAAGTCGCCAAGGTTGAGGAACCCCACTTTAGAGCAAGGTGGACAACTTGGTGCCTGTGGACCTAGTATGCCTGCAGATGTTTGCTTCGCTACCTTCAGATTCTTGCCCCCGTTTAACTAAGCTTAGGAAACTAACATAGCACAGGGCAAAGCCCAGCCTCTAGCATCACCCTGATTTAGAAGATAAAAACTAGGTGTGGTTGCAGCAAAAGCCTCACTGACCCGCCCAACCGAAAAAAAAAGCAGTAGGAAGTGGGATGGTGGGAATTGTCCTGCACTGCTTGAGAGAGTAACAGGCAGCAACTTCGCCGAATTGTCTTCTGGTAAATGGGTGTTTTGTGACCAGCTGCACCATCATGGGAGTCCTTTTGAGAGAACCCCAGTGACAAGCTTTCAAAATTCTACACCCAAGTAGATTTCTTATCCCTACTTTAAAGGGCACTTCTATACTGAAGAGCCCACACTTCTCTTTGGCTTTCACTTAACAGTTCAAAATCCTTTCTCCTTTGATGTGTAGTGTAAATCTACATATTCATTAAGTCATTGGCATTTTCTTTTTAGTACAGGCTTCCTTATATATGGTGCCTTTCAAATATGTTGGACTACAGCTTCCATCACCTGGTAGGGGCCTCAGCCAGGAACGTTGTGTACATATGATTTCAACACATCTGAATGGCACCAGATTAAAGGAAGACCACTTTAGTAATACTCCATATGAAGGCTACTAATTTTGGTCCCTTTCTTCTAATCTTTTCTTCTTTATCTCAGTTTCTATTTTGCCAGTCTTTAAATTAGTACATAATGAATGTATTCAGACCAAGAGGTTCCCATTTCAGTCTTTTATTTTGAATTCATATACTTCCCCCCTTACTTGTAATTGTTTCTTTCTCCTAAGATCAGAACATATTTCTCTTAGAAGAAGTGTCCACGATCAGCATCATGAAAACATGTGAAAAAGCCGCAACCTTGTAAATCTATGTTTGCATTTTCTTTTAAAATGTATTTATGCATACACCAGGCTCTTTGCTCCACCTGATTTTAATTTAGATATTTTTAATTAAAAAAAATAATCCGAAGCTGGCATGCTGCAAAGCAAAAATACCAGCCTCTAATAAGAATGCCCTTGGGTCTCAAGTAGGTCCTGTAGGCATCCTTAAAAAATAAGGATTGGTGGGTAGCTACAATAATGCTTGTATTGAAGAATGCCCACCGGCCTAGAAAGGTAAGCTGGGGTAGTGGGGAGCAATCTCCCCAGTTGGCTTTCTGATAAATGGGTGTTTTGTGATCTATCATGGGACCTCATCCCCTGGTGCACCATTTTCTAAAACTGCCCCAAAGCTTCCAAATGTGCCTCTCCAAAGGTTGCCCATTCTTGTCTAAACACTTGATCATTAAATTATACAGCCATTAATAGTACTGTAAGAAACTCCTTGATAGCCATATAAATAATCAGATGGAGGAAGAGTACTTTGAAAAATCCACTATAGTTATACCACTTTGCCCTTTCCATAACTGCATATCCTCTGTGGCATTTGTAAACTGTTAATGCTAATTGCATCTACTCAAAATGGGCTTTCAAAGTTGCAGCTTTGCATCATGTAACACTTCTGAATAGAGAATTCAGGTTCTATCTATATTCCATTTGAAGTTAATGGCAAAACTCCAAGAGACTTTCATTGTATTGCCTTGCAGCCTCAAGGCAATTAAGGATATTCCTTGATAATTCATGAGTAGCCACTACATCAACTCACCAAAAGAAACAAATATACAAATTATTTATTTTTCAGGGAAGGAAGTATGTTAAAATACATGCCATTAATCTTTAACTTGGGATATGTTAGGCTTCTTTCTTGTTTTTTTGTGTTCCATTCTGCACAGGAACCTGGTATCTCCATTTGTGACATCACAATCTGTTGGGGGTTTTTTTGTCATGAGTGTGATGTCAAAAAGAAAGGCACTGATGTCACAGGCTCTCTAGTGCAACAACAAGGGATGAAAGGAAATGACAGGGCACCTTGTTCCTCCTGTAACTTATTTAAATTAAAATAAAGGTGATATATTCACTGGAAGCACCAAATTAGTCTAACACTGGCAACTGCTACAATAGCCAGTGTGTGAATTCATGCTACCTAAGGACCAAGAAACACACTCACACAAAGAAACATGGTCTCTCTTAATAACCAAGATACATATATGTTTCTCCAACACTTAAAAAAAAACCATATATTGGAGTTTCAAAGCTGACTTGCTGTCTTGTTTCTTAATGTTAGCAAGGCATGTTGTGTTTCATTCACTATGAGATCCAAATCAAAATCTGGAAATTGGATGTAGAGTAGGAGATGGGACATTAAATGCAAAAAGGAAGTCGTTGATCAGAAAATGTATTTGTTACTAAAAACAGGGTGGGGGAATAAAGCTCAAGAAAAGCCCACAAAAGAACTACCATTTAATGTTGCCAGTTCATGAGAATGTAGGAAGTTCTCACAGGGAGGGACGGTTAATTTCAGAAAATGAGTGAAGACAACCCTCTTGGATGGAAAAAGCATTGTGAAGAACTAGTGAAGCTAAAAGTTAAAAGGATAATGCCCCACAGTGTAGACTTCCTGAAGTAGCTTAATAGTTGTACTGGCGCTGGCATGGTTGGTAGACAAAGTGGCCTTGGGGTTTGGCCCGTTGTGGGCGGCACTCTCTGGCACGGTTCTGCCTCTTCATGACTTTCTGACTCAATTTGTGCTTCTCTGCCAACTGCTTTACCCTCTGAATCCGACGCACTTGATTGACCTTCTCCAAGATGGCAGCCTTGGTGGCAAGAGAAGTGGAGTGGTGCGGGGGATGGCGCTGTAAACGGTTTTCAGGTATTTCACTGAAGAAAGAAAGACACACAAGATTGAAGTTGACATAGCACTTTTGATATGGCAAGACCCTGCTTCAAAGGACAAAGGACATGACATTTTCCCTAAATAGCAAAAAAGTGATTCATAAAAATTAACATAAGCAACTCACTCATAAATGTGGTAAGGAACACAATCTACAACTCCCACGATCTACAACAAAATGCATGACAGCTGGGTGCACAGATAATTCATGAAATCTCCCTTCCTCCTACTTTTTCAGGGGGGGAAATTATTTAACTATGTATCTGCTCAGGCATTCAATTCAACCATGTAATGAAAACCATGGGAGAGAGAATGGGGACTGCTGATGGCCTCATGCACAATGCATCCAGGCAGCAGGGGGCATATCTGAGCACAAATCTGCTGTAATGTACATTCACTGTCCTCCATAGGTAGCAAAATTCCTGGGTAGCATCACTCCAACAAGTAGAGAAATGTAATGATGTGAACAAAGTTAGCAAGTGCTTCTCCCCTCTCTGTATGGTTCTAATCACAGAAGGGAATCAAATAACCAAATAGGAATAATCTCATACTTGTAGGCATATCTGGAGCTCACAAGTGTACATAGAACTCTGTGAAAATTGAAAGTGTCTGAATATACATCTATTTTGATACATCAGAGAATCCATTTGGAAACAAGCCGAAATTTAACTGGGAGAGTAACATTCCAGCCAGCCAAATAAAATAAGAAGTGCTAGTCAAATCAGAACTTAGCAGTATTTGTGAGCATAAAATTCCCCAAGCATTCTTTTTACAACAAATGATATAACCCTATGCATGTTTACTCAGAAGTAAGTCCCACTGATTTCACAGAGGCTTCCAAAAAAAGAGAGAGAGAGAGAAGAGGTTCTTCTGAGTTGCTGCAGTCCTCCCCAGCTACTTGGCTCCTTTCACACACTTACCTAGATATACTTTTATATAAGTTTAAATGTACACACACAATATATACATACAACATTCTCAATTCAAAAATACATTCAACAGGCCATTTTCTAATTCAGCCTGGAACTCTCCTCCCTGATATATTGGGGTATCTGGTTTGCAATGCTGGGAAATGAAATCTCAAATCACTGGGAACCCATCAGGTCAGGAAAGATTGGGCTATGGTATATTTTTCCTAGCTGTGAAATGAGTGAAGAGGAACATGGGATGCTGTTAGTAAATGTCCGGAACGATTAGGTCCTGCTCTGGACTTACCTCTCCTGAACATTCTCCTCAGGATCCTCCCTTTCCACAATGATACTGTTGCTGCTGGTGACATATACAGACATGCTGGGATGCTCAATCAAGAGGTCCTCCATGGGGCTGCTCTCCATACTGACAGGATCAGGACCTTCTGCAGTAAAACAGGGGGGAGGGGTAACAAACCAACTCTCATCCATCAAGCAGGGGTCAGGCTGAGAGGGCATGGACCTGCTGACACAGTCACTGAGGGAGTGGGGTGAAGACGTGGTAGGTGGAAGGGACCCATGGCGGCAACGGGAAGCGCAAACAGAATCCTTCTCACCTACCCGCTGCTCAGTGCCAAGACTTGAAGCCAAACTATCTAATAAGAGATGACAGCAATCACCGGCCACACAAAATGGGAACAGCCAGAACAGCAGCAACAATGGCACAGACAAAATTCAAAAGAAAGACCACAGTGCAAAGCCATTCAACAGGAATGCATGGCAGTGCAGGGTGCATAGGAGTGGGTTACAGGAGGGAAAACGGTGCACACATTCAATATATTCAATGGATGGGAAGGAAGAAGGAAGAGAAGGAGAAGAGAAAGGGGCGCATTATTAGTGCAAAAGATACCCCAAAGGCATTGGTGTGACTCATCCTGAAGTCTTCCCTGAGGACTTAGGACTGGCCCAAGATGTTCTACTATCCGGTGACTCCGATACTCAGCATAATTTGCAATTGCAGCTGTGCGCCACTTGTAATGTGCTTTCCAGCATCCTTTGCTACATTGTCAGGTGTTCCAGTCAGCACAAATCTCCTACTGTGTGTGCTGTTTTATGTGTGGCCATGAAATAGGTCTGCTTCAGTTGCTTGTGCAAATACCCCAGTTTTGGAAGGTTGGAATTATTATGCTGCATAAAGGAGGGAGATAAATATCCCAAAGCAAAGCAGGTGGTAGGTTATGATACTGGGTTATTAAAATATCCAAAAGACATGGAGTGAAAAGAGTATTTGCAAGTAATAAGAATACCTTAATCTCTCCTAAAGAGTAAAAATCAACTGCTAATGATTTACAGATGCTAATGTCTTTAAATGTGTGCTGATCTAAAATCAGTGAGATTACAGAGGAATTTTATTTCTGAAAAAGGAACAAAGAATAATCATAGAGGGAAATTTGGGAACAGGAAGGATGATTTAAAATTAGATAGGTGGCACCTCCAGCAGACAACAATTTTTTAAAAAGCGCCTCTTTTTAAACCTCAAAGCTACAATCTTTACAAGATTGTAAAGCACGCTTTCTGTCTCATCCTATTAAAACTGACCCAAAAGATAAAACTTTATTTTAGATTAAAGCAGTGTTTCTCAACAGTGGCAACTTTAAGATAGGTGGACTTCAACTCCCAGAATTCCACAC